AGACTTTACTTTCTGACCCAGATGTTAAGGAGTTCAATTTACCAGATGCACCAGAAGAGCGGACAGGGAGGTGGAGGGATGAGTGAGCATCGAAAATACCCGCAGGCCTGAGAGATGAGACGTAATATGCCTTTTTTTTTGGGGCCTGGTGTTGTTTCTGAAGCGGCGTTAGTGCAGTAAGGAGCTCAGCGTCTAAAGAGGCTTTGGTATAGGGGGAAAGATGGGCCATATTACAGCGAGGCCAGAAGCCTGCTTGATTAATGGGCCAGGATAATCACCTCATCAAATCACTCTCACTTATTAAATCTTGTTTAATATCGTAATGAGGGCCCTCCTGAGCTGCTTTGGTAAATTCCCCCCGTCTCTCCATTGCTCTCGCGTTCCCTCTTCTGCCTTTCCATTTTAACAGGAAGACTGATGATGCCAAGTTCCTCTCTGTCCTCATCTTCCTCTCTCTGTCTTTTGCGTACTCTTTCTCTTTTCAGTCCTTTGCTTTTCTCCTTAACTTTGTCTCCTCTTTCCCAAACCATCCTGGAATTTGTGGCTTAGTTTTTAGACTACACAGTGGCTCAACAGTATGCACAATTTCTGAGGCTGGAATTATTATATACACAGTCTATTCATTTAATCTCCCTTATTTATGATGGATGATGTGCTAGATTGTATCATCATAAATCACTGTGTGTGTGGGTCAGGACCTGCTTGAATAGTGATACCACTTCCCAAGGCTTTGGTACACTGGAGTTTATGGAAACACTTCAGGTGAGGTAATATCTCTCCTGTCTCCTTCTGTGTGATTTGTGATCTCTATCTGTAGTATCACGACATACCCGGTGTTACTTGTGCATGTGTGTGCGTGAGGTTTCCGGGATGGGCTTGCATCTCCTTGACTTGACCTCCAGGCGACCATACAATGTGCCTCAGAAGAAAACAACATGCCACTGTCTTATTTATGGTCTTCCATGTGTCGCGCGGTACCATCTTGGTAGCACAGCCGTGACAGCGAGCTCTTTCCAAGGAGGGGGAAAATATTTCTCCTCTCCTCTTTTGTCTCACGCCTCTCTCTCTCCATTTTTATTGTGATTTTATTTCAATGGTCACCCCCTTCCACCACCCTCATCCCAAAGTTGGACCCAATCCTTTGTCGTCTCTGAAGGCAACAACTGGCTCAAGGTGACCAGTTCAGGCTTGAGAGGGAGGTTAGGGCTGCATCTTCCCCCTGAGTGCCTCCCATTTTTTGCCTTTATTGTTAGGGAGCAGCTGTTGTGTACCTGGACCCCATGAGTGGCGCCTATGCTGGGTATCTTGGCAGCCAGGCTCCATAGGCTTTGGATACCAGAGTGAATCAATTCTTAAAGATGACTGTCTGCGTGCTGTGTCACATGGACAGGCCCAGAGTGAAGGGCTTAGGGGGCTCTGGAGCTGGAATGCTCTTTGATGGAGGGGCTGGAGAATGAGGAGGGAGGGGAGGAAAGGAAAATACGGGGGAGGAGATGGTCCTATTGTTGTGCCAAGGAATGCCCTTGACGGAGATAGAGGGGTATTGTTTTTATGCCCATGAACTCTTTTGGTCTTGGGGACTTAAAGATGATGGAGCTGCTGGGGTGAGGAACATCTTAGCTTCTTTACTGTTTTCATTATGGCAAGAGAAGCGCAGCTGTATGTTGTCAGTTCCTCCTTTTTGCTGTTAACTACGTGTTGAAAGACGCTCTAAGACACAGCATGTGCGAGCAGCTTAGCGTCGAGCAGCCATGTGAACGTGTAAAGGTTGGCCAATTATTGGGAGGCTGATATAGCCCCTCTGTCATAATACCCACAAAACCAAACTCATTCTCAGCTGAGATTGACAACAGCTGAGCAGGACGTTGATGACCTACCTGGCTCACAGGCCTAACCTGACTAATGTCCACTGAGAAACCTGAGAAAATGAAGATCATAAAGGATGACAAAAACAGATTGGCACGTAAGCTAACCTCCCTCCCTCCCTCCCTCC